CTTTCTTTCTGTAAACCATTGGCCTGCACATGTTTCCTTAACTGGCCCCAGTCAGTAGCATTATTTTTCATTTCCTGAGCCTTTCTTCTTTTGGGCTTTAAGCTGCTGTTATCTCCATGCTGATTGTCAGAAGAATGCACTGGCTCCTTTGCTTTTGATTGAACCTCTCTTCTTTCTATAGCTTTACCCTTGGCCAAATCAGTCATTCTTTCAACATCAGGTCTTTCCATGAGTTTGAAGGCATCTGCGGCAGACAATGAGGTACTTTTCTGAATCTTAGTAATTATATCAGTGGTTGGAGGCATTGTAACTGATGCACATTCTGATTGGAAGGTCTTCCTGTTTTCTTGATTATTGTTGCAAAGCTGATTACCTTTAGTATGAACTTGTTGCTGCACTATGTGCTCACCTGATAAGGTATTCACGACTGTTGTGGCTATATTTTGATTTACTGGTTGTCGATTGTGTTGGACCGTGATTTTACCTCCACTATGGTGTGATTTTTTTGGCTTGTTGAAGCCAGAAGTTGAACCCCAGGAAGACATGCACACTTCACTGAAAGGTTCAAGGCCGTCTTCTTCCCATGGTTCAGACTCCAAAGTTATGTGTAGTGGATGGCTACTTGCTCCAAACGCATTTACATGTAGTTGGCTTCTAAAATAGCTATCTCGATTGAATGAGGAAGACCATCTGAGATTTCCTGTTCTTTCCAATCTTGATGTCTGCCCCTCTTTTGTAACTTCCGACTGTTTATATTTTAATCCTTCATGAAACAGTGAGCTCCCATTTGCAGAACGGTACAATTCATCAAATGAGGCACTGTTCTCTATCTGGTCAAGAGTTGAACCATGAATGTTGAGGAACTTGCATCTCATTGTAGGATCTTCTGTTTCTGGGTTGGAGCCTGAGTAGGTTGTGATTCCTCTGTTTGCTTGAATAACTGAGGAATCAAAAGAACTTTGCGATGATAGCACTTCTTCCTCCAAGCTCTGACTATATGTTCCAGTGAAGCTTGTTCTCTCTATCACTAAATACTCACTGTTCCTTGGGTAGTCTGTTGACCTGTTGGGAGTCCTGGAGCTTTGGCTGTCTAATTGATGACAAAATGGCTTTTCATGCCATTTGATGGTTTCATCTGGATTCAGTTCACAAACTTCTGGTTCTTCGATTAGTATTTTTGCCTCATCTGCATTGCAGTCTGTCTTGCTTGATGACTTCAAAGGAAACTTTGCTGCAAGAGACATGAAGGCAGAGCTGCACGATAGGAAAGAGAGAAAAATGTTTAATTATACTTTTAGTTTTCATGTTAATTTGTACTTTCAGTAAGACCAAACTAACTTACCTTGAAAGGTGATCTGAAACATTTTGGGTAAGGAAGACACCTATTACAGAATCCACCACAGATCCCTTCCATTTTGAGAAGTGCCTATCTCCTGCAAGATTTCATGACACTTTGGTCAGCATACATGCTGCAGTCTACAAGACTCAAGTAAAGTGTTTATGCTGAATATTCAGGTAATTTTGATTGATACAATTTGTTGCATATGGGCTAGGTTCTAAAATTCCAAATTCTGTCAGAACATTGGTTAACAGGGCAGAAAATGTTAGTCTGAAGCTGCAGTATAAATCTTTAATATTTTATTATGGCAGTTCAATTATTGGAAGTGCCCATCTTATTTGAGTGAACTGCAATTTTTAGATTGATAGATTTAGTTGTTGTTTTGTTGGAGGGGGGGCGCATATTTCTTCTCTCAAATCCTCTCTCCCCTAAAAGCATGTATTAACTTTTGATATGCATTCTTCTTAATTTCATACTTATCTTGAAGATCCTATACAAGTTCATGTCAACTATATGGACTTTCCATGAAGTAATTTTAGAAGAAAAAAAATCTAGTAGTTTTAGAGCAGTGAATGTTACGCTAGCTTGGCAATTTTGTACTAGATATGGCTATTTTTTATCATGTAATTTTTTACTAATGCTGTTATATCTTGTTTATGTGGGCATATCAGTGTTTCTTATCCTCCAATTATAAAAAAAACGTACTTACTGCTTTTTATTCTGTAACTATGATCAGAAGGTCCAGGGTGACATGTTAGTCTAGAAAGCAGATGCAGAAGTCTTTGTACTACAGAATATTGGGGCCAAACGTTAGCAGGTTGTACCTTGTACAAGATGCATTCGGGCTATAAATGAATCAACTCTTCCATGAAAAACTCTCCTTTCTTCTTCCCACCTATTTTCCTTCTCCTTATCTGTGTCCTCAATGTATTCTTCCTCCTTCCCCATCAACAAATTCCATACCCTTTTTGTCTCTGGATCAAGGTCCACTCTAGGTCGCACTTTGCTTTTCTTGATAAATTCGAACCCCTCATATGGGACAATTGTTCCAGGTCTGTTGTATACAACAAGTGCATTCTGCAGTTCTGCCTTAGGTGTGCTGTTCCTTTCTTTGAGAGTGAGGCCCTTGAATTTCTTTATTATCTCCACTGGATTGAGAGACGCCTGTTTTTCTGATGGTCCTGCATATTTTACCAAGAACAGTTAATTTATGATGGTGAGTAGAACATTTTACCCAGAACAGTTGATGAAAGGGTTAAGATTTGTTAGTACCTCTTGCTTTTATGGATTGCTGCAGGTTCTCATACACTTCTTCCTTTTCTTGCATCATCTGTCCAGTTCTGGATGGAACTCTTCTAGGTAGACCAGGCTCTCTTTTCTTCTTTTCTGAAATGTTGGTATGGGATCTTTTGCCAACCAAACCAAATTGAGGTTCAGGGGCCTTTTCAGAGGTAGTTGATAGAAGAAGATTGTGGTTCTTGATTGTGACCAAGTTTTGGACTAGAGCTAACTCTTTTGTGTTTCCTACTTTTTCCATGCCTGAAAGCAGTTGGGAAAAAATATTTTGCTTTGAAGAGGTTAGACCTCTAGCTGTAGAGTTAACATACCTGTCTCCTGTGAGTTCACTGAACGCACCACTTTTTCTGCTGTCTATGTTATCCCTTTGAAAATGGGGGTTAGATTTTCCACAATCTCTCAGTGATGTAAATTGTCCTGCGTTAACACCATTCATGCCTTTCGTTTGAAGTAGTCCTACAGCATGTGACACTGGACACTTGATTCCATGAATATATGCACGGGTTTCATCCTCAATCATCCTTCTTTTAGAAGCCTGTAGAAAAGCTGCCCCATTACTGCTGCAATTTGTATAACCTACATCCTCTTCAAAAATCCCTTGGGATAACAATGAATTCAGTGAACCTGCTCTGCTGAATTGTCCCTGCTCAATGGCATGATAGTGATCTCTCTTGGATCCCCTACCTTCATTAGAGTTGAACAAAACTGTCACTACTGATTGAGGGCGTCTCTCGAACATGAGTTCCTTGGTCCCATGAATATTTTCCCAATTTCTTCTCCTCTGCGAAACAAGTTGGATGGCTGGCTGTGTGGATGCATACACATTTCCATAGCTTTGTTGGCTCAAATCAGCATTGTACATGTTTATGTTCCTTTGTTGGCTCAAATCAGCATTGTGCATGTTTATGTTCCTTTGTTGGCTCAAATCAGCATTGTAATTGTTTACATTCCTTACCATGACAGTTACATTCTCCATTATCTCCTTTGCTTGAAGTTGGGTGGCTGTAGCAGCTGTGATACCTGGCATGGACATTTTGTTCGAGAAAGCGGGGTGACTATATTCAGTTTGTAGTTGCTGGTTTTCCACTGCCCATCCACTCTGTTGAGTCTGTGGAGTGAATTTTGTTCTAAACCCACTGTATCCTACATCGGAAAATCCCATGGCTGGAGATTCAAAGGACTTAATTCCCTCTAGCTTTGCTTGGTGACTAAGCATATCAGTCGAACTTCCATTTCCAGTGTTTTCCAAATCAAAATCCAAAACTCTTCTGCAGGATCTTTGAGCAGGCACTGAACTAGGATCAGGCTCCTTTATACAATCTACTTGCTGAGTTGCTTGAGCACTGGGATCAGAGCCCCTTGTACAATCTCCTTGCAAAGTTGTTGATTCTTTCTGGTTTCCCTTGTGCATGTGCTTCCCTGTTGCAGTTATCCCGGCTCCTCGAGCAGATATGTGTGCTGAATCTATCTGTTTATTGGCAGATCCTTTCATGCTTCTGTTCCATACATGCTTCGTTTTCTCCGGAGTTCCAGCTGTTGAGCCAGCTTCATTTGTTGAATTTGTATGTTCAGTTGCTGATTCCACCAGGCCTTTTTTGCGCACGTACTTCCTCTTCCCACTTGGGTTGTTCTTGGAGTTAACATCTGCTGCAGTGTCAGACTTCGGAGTACTTTTGGGTTTTCCTTCCACAATTACCTTGGGTCTGTGTTTTCTTCTTTTAGGTGGTTTTTGCTGAGGTGTCTTATTCAGATCTATGCCTCGGCTACTTCCCCTTTCAGAGTCCTTTTCGTCCATTGGAGTGGCAATGACAGCAGATGAGGAATCGACAACATTCTGTAAGAGCTTACAGTTCTTTCGAGAAACACCATTTTCATTGTGTGCAATTAAATTTTCCTGTCTTTCCTCACAATTCGAGCTTTCATGTGATGCAGAAGTTGGTTCTGTGGAGATCTGCTTGTTCTCCATCTTCTCAGATTGATTTAGTGCTGCTAACATAGATTGAAATGAGGTGGTGAAACGCGAGTCTGCACCGACTTCTGTCCTTGGTGAGTTTAAATTGCACTCTGGCATTGAAGGTATTGGAAATCCATCTGTAAGGAAGTTACCAAATTTCTAATTTCTCAACTAAGTTCTGAAAAGTTATCCAATGCATGATAACTGTTAACTATTAGTTACATACAAACTACTATAGTTATAGTAAAATCAATTAGCTTGACATTTTCATTTCTTTGTCAATATTAATATATATATATATATATATATATATATTGATTAAGCTAAGGTGATTACAAAGTGGTATCTGTTCTAACTTTGTCAATATATTTGTTTCTGGAAAATAAGGACATAAGTTTCCCTTCTAACAGATTAACAACTTACATTGTGGCTCTGGAGGAAGTTGTTGATATTGCTTATGAAGTCTGAACTTGAGGATTGATGTGAGCTAGAATGTCTCCAGCTATCTTCTCGAGAATGCAAATTCGGGATTGACACTGTGTTCCTGCTGCCTATGCTTGCAGTTTGGTTTGCAGAGGCAAAACCATTTGTGGCATTTCCGGTTGTCAGAAGACTTTCCCAGGTATGATTTCTCCATTCCGTGCTTCCATTCTGAAGAACCTGTCTATAAGAACCTGCAATGTTATTGATCATTCTGTTATTCTTTGGCAAATTTAGACTGCCAAAATGTCGGTCCTGGTTGAAATTTTGAGTAACTTCATTGTTATTTAGGATATCTTGAAAATATCCCTTAGGAAATCCAGCAAATTCCTGCCAATTTTCTTGTCCAAACTGGTTCCCATGCTCATTCATTTGGATCGGGTTCGATCCTGGAGGGATCGGCTTTTGGGGGGTTACTGGTGTCCAAGAACCTATAAACTGGAATTCTTTTCCTTGTGAAATTGAAAATTCTTCACCCAAATTCATCTCGGATTCTAATGTAAAACCCAGCAACCAGCTCTTTCTGTCTGTTCACGTTTTTACAAAAATGCCTTCAAACAAACACCAATTCCTGAAAAATTCCCACGAAAATCACCAAAATTCCAATTTTCTCAGGAAAAAAATCCTACCCCATGGCTTCAACTTATCCTCCCGAATCACCAAATCTACACCTAGCATCCTCAGCATAAAAACCCCCAGAAAAACCTGAAGAAAATTAAAAAAGAAAAACAAACAATTCTCAGGTAGAAAATCAGTATAGCAAATCAGCATGTGAGATACAAATATGATTTAGAAAGCCATTTCCCACAACTAATAAAAGGCAACTATACCATTTCTGTGCTGGAAAATAAGGAAAGCGTGAACAAAACATAGAAACCAGATAAAGCAAAAAAGACATGTAATTAAATTTCTGTAAACGAAACAGTTGTATTATTCGTAGAATTAAGTGAGGATTTGTTAGCAAAAAGATATTGTAAATATCTCCAAAGATTCGTGTTGATGGTATTAAAGGAATAACAGCTGAATTGAGTTTACACCAATGTACATGAACCGAGTTAATCAGTAAATCAATGTCGAAATATTGTACATGTAGCTTGTCTTACCGATTTGTTGTTCTAGGTCAGCTTTGTTTTCACAGCATAGTCAATGCCAGAAAAATCAGTAGTTTCTATTGCTAAAACAAGGGGAGAAGAGAAGAGAGAGAAAAAAATAAAAATAAATGAAAGCATAATTTATAATATCTGAAAATAAGCTACTGCTTTGGGCACTCTCTTTAGTGTTTTAGAAAGTGAGCACCCCCAATATATTTATTACTTAGAACTTTGTGTCAGGGAGTTAGGAAGTTCTTATTTTTCTCTCTCTAAAAACTGAAAAATATGACAATTTTATTGTCCTGAAGGAACTTTTTAAAACGAAAATGGTAAATGAAATAAATAAATTTCTCTTGGTTTTTGTTTTTTAAAAAAATAAAATTTGGATTAGATAGTGAAAAGGAATTGAATTTAGGCAGAATTCTTTAAAAGGCAAATCTAGTTATCTAAAAACGGCAGCCTTCATTGATTTTAACTCGTGTTTTTATGTCAGCGAGTTATATTTGTTAATAAATTGGAGCGTTGATAGTTATAAAAGACCATATAAAAAATTAGTAAAATAAAAAAAGGTGAAGGTTGTTTTAGTTATTTTATGTAGCACTTGCCAAAAGAGATTGCATAAATTATGTATTTAGTATTTAAATTATTAATTTTGGTCTATTTTGGTATCTAAACTTCATTTTTTTCAAATCATAATTTTGTTTCGTTTTAGTATGTTATTAAAAACTTAACGGACAGACTGAGGGGACATAATTTCAATGGACGGATGATCAATATGAATGGTGGATCAAGAGAATGATGTGTCAACGAATATAGTTCAGTTTTAGGATCATTGAATGATTGACGACAAAGATCGAAGATGAAGAAATTGAAGAGTCAATCGTTGATTTTGAGAAATTGAGACATTTACTGGTGAAATAGAGGTCGAAATCATATTTAGAAGCAAAAAAGTTACGAATTAAAAAGTTTGGGTTTTATTGATCGATGGATATGATGGTCGGCGACTATAAATGTAGCGGTTGGTTTGTTTGTCCGTCAAGTTTTTAATGGTAAGATGCTAAAATAAAAATTAAATGTTAGATATGATTTTGAAAATTTGAAAGTTTAGATATTAAAATAAATTAAAATTAATAGTTTAGGTACTAAACGTATAATTTACGCAAAACATTAAATATATTTTAAGAGAAACACGTGGTGGTTTTGGTCCACATGACCCGAATACGTAATAAAACCCCGAGCCAAACCGGCCGATCTATTTTCCTTTTCGTGTACGGGCTGCCACAAACAAAAAGGAAGGTGGGGCCGCCCACAATAAATAAACATTTTATGAAAAGCATTTTCAATGCTTGCATGATGTTACGTAGTACATTCTCTGTTATGTGAATATAAAATGTATTCTTGAAAAAGTTTAAAAATTATATAACAATTTAAGTGTCTAATGAATAAATTTTCAATATTATAGGAAGTTTCATGCAATTTTTGTAGAATATTAAAACAAAATTTTAATTATTTAACGCTGATAGATTTAAAAATTTAAGAATGTCGTCTAAAAATTTAAAACTCTGGGTATATAGATTTTATTAATTTTTCTCTCTTTCTTGAACATATTAAACTAATTTTTTTTAAATAATGGGGTACATTAACCTTAGTGCATCTATGCATGTATTTAATCAATGTTGTTTTAAGAGGTTGAAATATGAAATTAAACCATGACCAATTGAAACTTGCATATCTATAAATCTCATTAAATAAACTAAAATAACATGGAGAGAGCAATTTACTTACAGTTATTTTCAAACTATATACGGTTATTCAATTGTGTAAAGCTTCTCATTTATTTTAGTCAAAATTTTACTAAAGAAGGGTTGATGATTACTTACATTTTTTTATTCAGATATGAAAAGTATATTCGATTCACTTTTATAATATAAATGTATTTGTTATGTCACGTCTTTTTTCCTTTCTTGTTCGTTTGACTGTTATTTTATTTATGTTTTTTAGGATGAGATTTGATAACGTCATGATTAATCAAGATATCGTTTATTTGTGATTTTGTTAATCTTCTTGCTATGGACTATTGTATTGAATTTGGATACGCGATTTTATGTTTGTAGATAGTTTCTTACGACACTCGCCTCTCGGTGGCCTTTTAATAGATTAGTCCCCTTTTGTAATTTGTTCGTAGTTGTAGTCAGATTTATTCTTATCTACTTTTTGTTCAAGTCTTTTAGTTGGATTTTTAACATTTTCTATATATAGTCCTCATATGATCTAAAGGGACTAGTTTTAATTTTATAAGAAAATATCTAAATTATATAATTAGTTTATGATGATAGTTGTAAACTCTTATTATAATTTTGTATATTTCTTTATTTTTATAATAATACTAGCGGTTTTTAATAAGTATATAAATGTAATCGCTTTATAATCAGTCAATCATAAGGTATTACATAACTAATGAGTGAATGTAACATTGAATTTGTGCATATACATATATTAGAACACACATTTTTTTAACTTATTGTTGGTTTATGTTATTAGATTCCATTTTAATAGATATTTGTGTATTGATGTTGTATGCGTAGTTATTTAATATTCAACCCGAAATATTGGATTTGTTGACCTATGATCCGATTAAAAATTATCTGAGAACATATGATTTTATTCGTTAGATACCTAATATTTTGAGTAATAAAGAAATACAAATATTCGGATATGAACACCCCTAGTTGTTTGTATTTTTAGGGTTTGAGTGGCCATTTTGCCAATAGAGAAATAAGAAGGCAAAGTAAGTTAAAATTAGAAGGCTTGCTATTACACTAATAAGCCCTTAAACTGTGTCGTTTTATTCAAAATAAACACTTAATACCCTTTTACGTCCAAATAAGCCCTTAAACTGTGCCGTTTTATTCAAATAAACACTTAATACCCTTTTACGTCCAAATAATTAACTAGTACCCCAATAAACCTTTGAACTTTCATTTATACAAATCCTTGTACCTTTTTTACATCCAAATAAGCCCTTAAACTTCAATTGATACCCAGACAAGTCCTTAGTTTTGTTGCCTCGCCAGTAAATTAATTATTATGTTGTATTTTTCTAATCCAATTTGTTCGTTCACCAAATGAACTTTATATATATTACAAGTAAATTAAAATGATTTTTTTTTACTATAGGATTGCAATTCGGGCAGGAAGAGCCGAGTCAAATTTGCATAACTAATCTTTTCCCAAATCTCAACTGAGTTGGACAGATAATCCGACCTGATGGGTAGGTGCATTTGTTGGTATTGTTATTCTAATACTGATCAATCTTCATAAAGAGGATTGGTCGGCTTTAAATGAATACTTCTGGTCAATATGATTGAGTCAAGTCAGCTTATGTGATTAAGACATGTGGCTCAAAAATATGGAAATAGAGATGGAAAGAACATCGGTAAAAAAAATAACCCGGGTAATTAGTTAAAGCAATGATATCGACATGAACTGATGCTTAAGTTTATAAAAGAAAGAGACAGAGATGCATTCTTCTTATAGCGTAATTGACGCTTATATAGTTGGATGAAAGTGATGCATTTTTCTTATACCGTATTTCACGCTTATTTTAGTCTTTATTTGTACTACTTAGTGTCTCGAGTTTGGTGTAGATTTTAGGATTTAGGGTTTAGAAGTAAAGTATGAGATTGTGTTAATAACCCTGAATTTAAATATTGTATAGAATATAATGTATATTTTATTTTTTAAGGTTAGTAAAACAATGATCACTTAATTAAGCAACAATGATCTTTTCGGTTACTAAAAGTTTATAAATTACAAAATGATAATTAAACCTATGGATTTGTTAGAAAGTGATCGGTGCACACTATAAAATAGTTATAACTTTTAATAAGTCTAAGGACTATTTTGTAATAATTTGATAAGTTTTAATGATCATTCTGTAATAGTTCAATAAGTTTATCTTCTGCAAGTTTAGTGGCCAAAATGGTTATTTTACTTAGTTTAGTAACCATTTATATACTTTACCTTGTTTTTAAACTCAAAAAATTATTAAACGGTCCCGGTTCACCACGTCATATGTGGCCCGAGTAATAATATTTGTCCATATCATTTTTTTCAAAGATGAATCTTTACCTCTTTCCTACATGTAAATAAGAAATGGGTAGTTATTTAGAAGTTATTTAAAATTTTGTGACTCTCATTTATTGGGACCACAAATGACGTGATGAGCTGAGTCCATCAAATAATTTCTCTTTTCCCAAGTAGCATCGTATATACAATGCATGTTTCTTCTTTTAAATCTTGGTGAGTGTGTTATTGTTGAACTTTAGTTCAGTTGTTAAGATATGGTGTCTGGTTTTCTTGCCCAATACCCCACGCGGGTAAAAAATTTAGGGTATTGGGCCTACCCAAGTTTTATTTAGTAAATTACGACATTTGGGCCTACCCAAAATTTTAAAAGGTCTCATCGTAATGGGTCCCATGTGGGTCATGTGAGCCATTATTTAATTAGGGTTATAATGACTAGTCACGTCGAGGTGATGAATCCATTAATTTTTTAAAAAAATTAGAAAAATAAATTTTATAAAATAAAAAAATCGATGAAACTCGTCATGTCAAGGTGACAAGGTCCTTCAAATTAAAAAAAAAATAGTCGTTGGCTAGCTATTGTTCAAAGGGCAGAGGGGCAGCAACGGTCAATAGAACTCGTCATCTCGAGGTAGCAAGTTCGGTCGATCATTTAAAAAAAATAGTCGTTTATAGTCGTTAGGGGTAAGGCTGTAAATAGGGGTTTGGAGTTTTAATATTTCACCATACCCTTAATTAAAAAAAACATATGTTGTACAAAAATCTCGAAAAATGGCAACTCGAGAATATATGTTGCGCCTGGATAACGTCCATGTTTCGTCGATCAAACGTGGGTCGGACGACGAATGAAGTATTCGTAGTCGGAGGATGACAACCAGAGAGCCTCATCAGCGGATGATGGTATATATGCATCAATCTAGTCTATTTTCAGCCATATTTTTACGTGGCTTTAAGGTGTACACGTAATTGATCAAGGCTCTGATTGAATGTTGGTGCCTCGAGACGTACACGTTCCACTTCCCGAGTGGTGAAGCGACGATTACTCTGGAAAATATCGCATACTAACTAGGTGTTCAGGTGAATGGAGCCCCCGTTGTGAGTTGTAACTTTTATGACCCTGCGACGTTGATCCTCCTAGTCTTGGGAAAATGTCCACATACGATTTCATGAGGGGCTATCGGGTAATGATAACGTGGCTGGAGTTTGAATTCTAAGTCACAGACGAGTCTACCGAGGCGGAGGTTATTTTCACGTCCCCAACATTTCTTCTCCAAGTGATTAAAGGGATATTATTAACGGACAAATTCGATAATTTGGCGCACACCCAATATCTGCGATATTTGGAAGACTTTGATGTGTGTCGGAATACCAGTTGGGGCTCGACGATTTTGGTCTTTCTTCACTGGGAGCTTTGCAACTGTCCAGCGTTGTCGAAAAGCTAATGTAGCAGACTGTCTGTTACTGTTACAGTCATGGGCCTGTTATCACTTATCGTCTTTTACGCCGATTACAGACGCCCATGTCTAGTTTCCGTTGGTGGCAAGGTAATTGTTTGATTTCATTTATTTAACTTTTTTTAATCTAAAAAATTTAATTTTTTATTTGCTTATAATATTTTTATTTTTAAATATTTTAGATGATGTCATAAAATAACGGAGACGAAGTTGGCGGGTGTCGATGCACGAGACATATGTATAAGGATTGACATCGTCGGTTGATTCGCGGTATGACATACGCTATTTTTTTTTTAATTTTTTGAATCTTTTTAGCTTTATATATACTAACTTTGATATTTAATATTTACAGTTCTCTTAGCTTCCGTATGTTGACAAGGATATCAATCGCGTATTGGCAGCGTAATTTTTAGAGGGGTCCTACTTGTGGTGTGCCATGACGCCGTTATTGCACTAATCGATAGTTAAGAAGCACGCGACTCATAGAATGATACGCCAATTTGTGGTGCACCAGCCGATTCCTACGAAAATCGCGGTTGATATGGACGTGCTCCATGCAATCGATAGCATGGGAAACATGATGAAAACTGGTCAGCGCGACACACTTACTACATCGACCTATGAAATCGGCATGAACTATCGATCCCCCATCATCAGGACATTACACTGCTGGACTTATATTTCGACCATTCTCACTATCTCCAGATTTACAAACAAAATGGCAAACCATATCTCACGAAACCAAGAGAGAGGGCAAAATGGAAACATCATCAGGCCATTCGCGCCAAGTCCAACAAGAAGAAAACATCATCGTCACGGTATTCCGCTTCAACATTTGCAGCTGAAGAGTACTATTACGCATCTCAGGCTAGTTTCAGTTTCAGTTCTCCATTTCATACTTCAGTCGAGACTTGACCGAATTGGGTTGAAGGTTAATGGGATGCACCGCAGTACATTCAAACATCTTCGACAGAACATGCGGTTGCGAGTGAGTGGGACCATATCCTATATGGGCACCAAAGCCAAGTCGAAGCAATTACGACGATGATGGCGTCAAATGTCATAAACCTATCACCGTATTTGAACGTGGATCACAGAATGTGTTGGGTACACCTCCTCAGCAAGACGACGACACTGATCAATGCCTACGACCCTGGCTTATTCGACGAGTCCCGCGACATTATCATTCGACCACTCCTCGCCATCGTCAAGAACTTAGGAGACATAGATAAATTGATTTTTACTTTGTAATTTTCATATAAAATTTTATTTTTGGTCACCTTCGTTGTTCTATGTTGTACAATGGCTAGCCAATAATTACTTTTTTTTAATTCAAAGGAACTCGTCACCTCTACTTGACGAGTTCCATCGAATTTTTTTATTTTATAAATTTTATTTTATAAAAAATATATGTTTTAATGAATTCGTCACATCGGCATGATGAGTCATTATAACCTCAATTAAATAATGGCCCATGTGAGACCCATTACGTGGAGACCATTAAAAAATAATATCTGAGAAACTTATCACGTCGATGTGACGAGTTCCAGGCAGACTGTAGCAATACAGTAATTTACTAAATAAAATTTGAGTAGACCCAATACCCTAAATTTTTTACCCGCATGGGGTATTGGGCCAAAAAAAACTTGTTGTCTTCTTATTTCAAGGGATTTCGAGCTTAAGCACAAAACAATAAGCCCAAAATCACGCAATGCTTACACTGCAGATCGAGAGTACTGAGTCGCAGTTCCAATACTCCTTGAAGCAAAGGAAAAGGAAAATTATGAATGCTCAAAGTATATAGAGGTTTGTATTTTATTGTTTCTTTTCCTTTTATTTGACCTTGTGATTTTCGATTACAAGTATGTTAAGTTGTTAACTGTTGTATTTTGATTTGGAAGCTCGAAATAGGTTTTTAATTTTGTTGCTTTAGTTTTTTTAGGGTAAACTATTTGAATGACCATCCAATTATAGGGTTAGTATCAAAATGACCATCATTTTCAAATTCGTATCAATATGAATACTAAACTATTTAAGTGTTATCATTTAAGCCACTTGTCATTTAAAATCTAGGGGAGAGTTGATGTGGCAGATAACAAAAATTTATATAATTACACATGTGATCCTCAATATTTATATCTTCTATCAATTTAGTCATAATTTAAATTTAATTTTATGAATTAACCTTTTAATGAGGAGGTTGTATGTATCAAATCATGACACATGCCAGCACATGTCACACCTAATTGGAGAATTTTTTTATTAATTTTAAATTGTTTGATTAAATTTATTTTTTATCTAATCATAAAGTGACAATTAGTACTTTGATTGAAAAGAAACAAATAGATAATGACTTGCATTTTTTGGGGGTTGTGGTGTTTGAATTGGGTTCTCTCTAGGGTGAAAATGGGTGCCCAAAACATTGAGCCAACTACTCCGTTTGGTAATGTAATACACCAACATTTATTCATCTCATAATATTATTAGTGATATAAAAAAAATAAAAATATTCAAAAGATATTTAATTTTTAATATTTTTATATTTTAAAAAAATCAAAATAAGTTTAATGTTTTATTTTTTAAACCAAATTAAATATTTTATTTTATATATTTTTAAACAAAATTTATGGAAGAATTCATGTAATATAAAAATAAATATTTTTATAAATTTAAACAAAATAAGTTTTATAATTCTATATTTTTAAATAATTAAATTTAATATAAGATTTACAATGAAAAAGAAAAATTAATGTTTAATTATTGAAGATCAAATGTGTAATTATACAAGATACCGATCTTATAGTTTGATGGTCATTAAAGTAGTTTACCTTTGTTTTATTTGATCTGATTTAATTTTTGTTGCAGAATTAATGTGATATTTTCCAATAATCAAAATCAACAATGAAGGGAAAACGTCAATAGAGAACAATTATATAGTGAAATAAGATATTAGGTTCCTTAAACAACATCTAAAGTTCAAGACCATTAAAGAACAATGTTTACTTTTATTAACGAAATCACTATATTATTTTATCTATCAAATTTTAATTTAAATATTTTTTTTATCAAACCACAACAATTTTAACCCAGTGATTAGGTGTTGCATACCCTTCTTTAAGGTCGTAGGTTTTATCCGATATGAAATCTCATGTATTTTTGTTTATATTTTTCTAATCACATTTTAACCTAAATATTATATTTTTGTCAGATTAAACAACTTTATTGCTTAACCTAATGGTTGGACGCTAAATATTTTGATTTCAATGAGCAAAATAGATGGAAAATAAATTGAAAGTCAATTGTGTTGAGTTTTTTTGGCTATTTATTTAATTGATTCAATGAACGATAATTTTAAATATTAATTATGTGAGTGTAATTTAATACATCCAATTTTTTTCTTAAAAAAATTCATCCAAAACAATATATGGGTTGTTTTTATATATATAATTTTATTATATTCAAAAAGTAAATGCTATGTATTTAAATACGATTATAATCTATTTTTTAAAATGATTTAAATGTTATTATCACATCTAACCACATATATTAGAAAACTATGTATTTTTAATTTATGTAAATTGTTGTTTTTTGTTATTTACATTTTGTATGAGGATACTTTTACCTCTAATCAAATGATATTTTTTTTAATTTTAATTCTCTTGAAACAATGTATATAGATGTTGTTCATTGAATTTTAATTTGATTATTGTTATTATTATTATTATTATTATTTAATAACTTATAATTTTAAATACATTATAATCTTTTTGAATATTATAAGTAATTTAGATTCAAAAAGTATAATTGGCCTTTAAAATTTATCAAAATCATTATTTGACCTTTTTTTAGGAGTGTTTAAACCCTTAACTTTTTATTGTGAGGCAACAAATCTTCTCAGATAAAAATTATTAGTTAATAAATGATTAATATTTTTAAAAAACTATTCAGTCAAATGTTAGATTTTTTTATCTTAATATAAAAATATTAAGACCAAAATACTTCAAAAAAATAATATGCGTTAAAATGATATTTTAATAAGTATTAAAATTTAATTTTCGCGTTATTTTTTTATAAGTTTAAACATGTTTGTACTTTGGATTCGGGGTGTAAAAGTGAGAAAAAGTGTAAGTCGTGAGGGCTTTAAAAGAAATATGGAAAAGTAAAGGGAGTATTGCGAAAAGAAAATTATGAGCTTTATTCAATGCTCACTCGGTTTTGGTCTTTTATATACATTTTCCAACTAAAGTTTTTTGTTTGGTAGAAAAACCAATTGAAGTAAAGCGCACTTTGTCCCCAATTTTGCTTCTTTAGCCTTCACTGCACCTTCCTCGCAACAGCGTCTCATCTCTTCACAAAACTTCATTTCCCTTTTTTTTCTTCTTTGTTTTCCCCTTATCCCAGCTTCTAAAATTTAGTGTTCTTTTTTATTTCATGTGATCGGTAAGTGCTCTTTTTTGCAATATTTTTACTTGATTTTTTTGGTTGGATTTTCTTTCAGGGTTTTGGGTTTTATTCTGTTTGGAATTATTGGGTGGTTGAAATCTGTGGAATTGGTGGGTTTTTTAGCCTCTGGATTTGTGTAATTTTTTTAGCTTGGCTGATCTTGAATTTTATTTTACTGTTATTTGATTAGCCGTTATAAGCTCTTTGTTAAGCTTCTTACCTTCTATATTACAAATTGAATTTTCTGAGTAGATAGTAATACCATAGTTCAATTCAAGCTATACTTTATCCACATAAAAGGAAAATAGCTGTTTAGATTAAATTCAATTTCGGTTGAAATTTGTTACCTTTTAGGTCTTCTCTAGTAATTAAAACCATTAAATATAGTGTGTGTAATTTATTGATGATTTAGTTTGATTGTCTAATCTGATTGAGCTATATTTGGTTTGAAGATTTGAAGTAAAAAAAATTATGAAAATGTCGAATTTGTGAGCCTGATTTTGCTAATTATTTTTCTTCAATTGTTTTTATGTTAGATACTTTTGGGACTAAAAGATGGTGGCAGACTCTTGGTTTCGTAGTCTTTGGAAAATTCCGAGGAGGCATGAGGGAACCTCCGAGAAGATTGAAATCGGAGTATTAGCATTTGAAGCTGCGAGCTTGATGTCCAAGCTTGTGCACCTATGGAAGCGTTTGAGTGATAAAGAGGTTGTTAGGTTGAGAGAGGAAATAACGAATTCTGTTGGTATTAAAAAGCTAGTGTCCGAAGATGACGAATACATCGGACGCCTGATATGTGCAGAAATGGTCGAAAATATTACCCATGTTGCACAGTCTGTGTCTAGGCTTGCGAAGAAATGTAGTGATCCGGGGTTAAACAGTTTCAAACTTGTCTTCACTGAGTTGGTCCAGATTGGTACCGACCCTTATGGTTGGATATTTTCGTCTAAGAAGATGGACAAGAAGGTTAAGAAATTGGAACGATTCATTTCGGTTAATGCTACTTTGTATCAAGAGATGGAACTGCTTGCAGATCTTGAGCAAACGCTGAGGAGGATGAAAAGCAGTGATTTGGCACCAGAGAATTTGCTTGAATTTCAGAAGAAGGTCATTTGGAAGCAGCACGAAGTGAAGAGCCTACGGGGGAGCTCTATTTGGAATAAGACTTATGATTATACAATTCGCCTTTTATCAAGATCAATATTCACAATATTTGGGAGGATCAGACATGTTTTTGGAATTGAACACAGTGTAGACGTTGGGGATTCAAGGGTGATGAATTCAGATTTTATGCATCGCAGCCAATCAGTTTCTGCCGTAATGCATTCTTCGGTTCTTCCAACCGAAAGCACTGGCCTTCCCAGATTTTCTTCTGGCCCTTTAGGGATTTTTAACACTAAATCAGGCCCGATTCCAACACCAAATAAAACAAATCATTTTCATTCGGGGCCTCTTGGTGGTTCAACCACAAGATCAGGCTCTATTTCTAGAAAGAATGGAAATTTGAACTTCCATTCAGGTCCGCTTGGGAGACTTGCAGGAAGGTCTGGAGCACTTTTTGGAATGGATAAAATCAGCAAGATTTGGCAGACTAACAACCGCTCGGCTGCTATTAACGGAAGGAAATCGCATTTGAAAAGCAATAGATTGACTCAAGTGGGACCTTTTAAAGGATGCATGGTAGCAGTTGACGGCGGTACCATTAGAGATTGTTATGTAAGTTCAAATGGCGTTCATTCCGGAATTCCGAATGGAACCAAAGATGGAAACCTTAACCTTCCTGAAGGAAATGCTGCCCAGAGTAGTTCATTGGTGTTCAGATCTCAATGCCGGTTGTTGGATGCTCCGCCTGAAACACTTGGTGCTTCTGCTTTAGCATTGCACTATGCAAATGTTATCATTGTAATCGAGAAGTTAGCAGCATCTCCCTACTTGATTGGTCATGATGCCAGAGAGGATCTGTACAACATGTTACCCGCAAGTGTGAGAAACGCTCTGAGGGTTAGGCTAAAACCGTATGCAAAGAATTTAGCTTCATTGGTTTATGATACAGAGCTTGCTGAAGAATGGACAGAAGCAATGTCTTCCATATTAGAGTGGTTGGCGCCACTAGCTCATAACATGATTAGGTGGCAATCCGAGCGGAGTTATGAACAGAACTTTGTTTCCCGAAGTAATATTCTTCTGGTGCAGACTCTCTACTTTGCAAATCGAGAAAAGACGGAAGCAGCAATCACTGAGATTCTTGTTGGTCTTAATTATGTCTGGAGACATGAGAGAGAACTCAATGCAAAGGTACTGCAGGAATATGCAGGCAGTAGAATATTCGATGATTGTTTGGATCTCGAGAAACGAAGTTCTTAAGCCTCTGTTTCAGTATGATATCTCCACGTATCAATGGCATTGAGTTGAATTCGGTCTATTCAGTTTCCAGCCAGCGACAGTCTCGATTTGCCTGCATGATTGAAGATGAGAGAATTCTCCAGCCTTCTGTGAAATACAAGCCAAAAGCATTCTTGTGTGGGTCAGGTATAGTTTGGGCTTTGCTGGTGATCTAGTTTCGAAGATTCCTCGTAATGCCGTTTTTCTAGTTAAGCAATTATCTGTGAAATGTGTTTATTAATTAGCAATATTGATACCCTTCGGAATTTATTGTTTATGTACCATATAGGCTGTTTGCCCACCCGTTTATATGTAACGGGTGCGACACAGTTGAGTGATCTCTCATCGGCAGGCTGTGTATGATGTGATAATATACGAACTGAAGCAGATAGAAGCGAGCTGGTTGGCCTGAATTCGAAGTCAAATATCACCATTTTTAAAACGCAGGCTAACATGTTAGAGCTATGAAATTGCAATGAGGTTGCTTGGACTTATGTTTTTGGTTGAATGATCTCACCGTGGTATCATTTCTGTCATTAATGGAAAATAACATCCTTTCGATACATTAATAACGTGTAATTGACAACAAAATCGCTCCCCCTTTTTTTTATCCATTTTGCTTTCCACTTCTACTGTATTTCAAATTGTACATGCTTGAAACAGGTAAGAACAACCTCCTTACCCAATAATTCTACAAAACAAAGGAATGAAAGCATACAATGAACCAGGAGCAGCCTGCAACACGAGACAGCCGAATCCGAGAATGGATAGCTTCAGAATGTTAAATTGGTTTTAAGTTCCCAGGTTCCCCGGCGGCATCGAAAAGGCCAATGAATACGGTGCTTAATGCCAATAAAATCCCTTTAACTTCGATCACTTTTTTCCATTGCCGTGCTCTTTGTTTCGAATCATCAAATGACAGTACCTTTTTTGGCTGAAGCACCACAAATATAGATCAGAAGATGGCATAAAAAGCACCAGGGTGCACGAAAATTCCAGATACATTGTATCATTGCATTAATAAATTCGATGAATTCATCCCTATGCTCATATACTTACCGTGCAAATCTTGAAGTGCGACGGACTTGTGACCTGGACGCCGAGGTCATCAGAATTATCGGACCAAATAATGTCCCCTTTCACGACCAGTTTTGAAGGATCAACGTAGATCAATTTCGGCTTGTTGGTGAGGATAAGCTGCACTTCCTTGCTGGATAATTTCTGTAGTTTCTTCATCATTGAGATCATAAGAACTAATTCTCCCGGATCCAAAAATTGTTGCCTGCTTAAATTAGCAGAGGGAAAGAAACGACAAACGTTAAGGCTCCGTTGGGTAGGGGTGGAAAAGTCTAATTTAACGGTTGCACTGACTAAATAGCACATGTTGATATGTAGCTCAATCTATATGTTCAAACTTTTTCCTTAGAAATTGACAAATACCATTTTGAGTCGAAGGAATCGACCAAGGCAAGTCTAGTTATATGGCCAGATGATTCAGCCGATGATGAGGCACTGACAATTCCGTCTTTCTTTCCAGCTTAACCATCTCCGATGTAAGTAGGATTCCACGAAGAATCATTATAATCATCACCACCCTCACTTGATTGAGCCTGAAATAGGATAATGGAATTTTGAACTCTTAAAAGACAAGATGTAACACATGTTGCCATCATACCCCCGTCTCTAAAGCAAGCTTTGGAGGGGTTTTTGCTCTTAAACTACTCCAATCAACTCCCCTATAGAAAGGATGCATCTTGAGCTCAGCATAACCATCTGGTCCGGCACCTGATATTTTACCGGGATCTAGTCCTGCACCACACGGTTGCATTAGGTTACAGCCTTTAGGCCAGAAGTTACAACATCACACGCGACATAGGATAAACTGAAGAAAAAAAGCGGAAGAAGTGGATGTCGAAAAACGATGACCCCAAGCATATTGAAATCCATGCACAGGGAAAAAATATGATACACATCTAATAATAGAAGAAGCTAACGGCTTTGAAAAGTCAAACATACAAGTTCAAGTATGGACGTATAGTATTTATCGAATCCAAAATACATTTTTAAAGGGATGTATAGTATATAAAATTTCATAATAATAAAAGTAGTTACTTTAGCCTCACATTTTCAGAACTCAAAACAAAATAACAATAAAAGAAAGGCTTTGTTACTGGGTGACATACATTCTGGGATGTTGGAAAAACAAAATAGCAGAAGGGGGAAAAAGATGAACATCTTAAAAATGAACCGAATAAGTATCTGGCATTAACGTCGACATCGATAAGAAATAAAATTAAAAAGAGAGCATCAAATGAGAACTTGATCCAGCAGTAAAAGGAAAACCAGTAAGTTCAAACCCCCCACTGCAGGTTGAATCATTTTTGCTTTGCTAGTTATACAATAGAGCGGACAGAGAAAATAAGCAAACAATCAGAGAGTAGTTGTGATTCTCCAATCTCCACATTTTACCCCAAAGGATTTTCCATCCTTCTCGTTGCAACCAAAGCCTAAATACCACACATCTTCAAAGAGAAACGAGGATGGACCCCAGCCGCCCTTAAAAATTCTAAATGATCATATATTTTGTTTCTATTTTCTATTAATAATCTCTTTTTCGTTCCCTCGCGGGCATAAAATTCGGCATTCCTATTTGAAGAGAAATATATTCATCTTATAGGAAACATAAACAGAATAGTATTCATCTTCAAAGCCTAATCATCACATAACTTTACGTTTTTCGTTGCGTTAAATCTCTACAAATTCGACCCTTTAGTTCAGACTTCAGACAGCTTATATCACCAGTAAAAACCCACAAAATTCACAAACATAGCTAAATTTATCCCAAAACACACAATCATTAAAAACCATCATTTCCCGTAAAATTCATAAAGCTAAAGCTTGCAAATATAAAAAACATTTTTTTAAGAAAAAATAGCAAAGAAAAAAGTGTCAAAAATAGTATGTGATCTATTGATAGAGTGGTGTGACTGGAATCAAGCTCAAGTATCCAAAAAAATATTTATAAATTAAGAAGAAGAAAAAAGCTAACCTTTGAGTAAGAACCAACGCAATATATCTTACCCAATTCAAAATCCTGGATACTGAAATTCTCCTGAGGAGCTCTAAATGCAAAGCTTTTAGATCTCTGAACATTGTTAGAAGAATTATCTTTGCTGTTATCATCTGTTTCCTGAACTTGCATGTCCAACATTTCTCTCTCAAAAGCTCCCTGCTTTGCTATTTCCATCATACTAGTAATAATTCTTGGGAGAAGAAGCTTCTCTTTTTTGATTTCTGTTTCCAGTCAATGAGGGAAAAAATTCTTTTGAATTAATCACTAATATATTAATCGATTAATCCAAATCGACTATTAAAGAGATATTCTAGACTCTCCAACTCAGTTTATTCCATTCGAAAGTCCTATAGTTCAAACTTGTTACCTTTAAAGAATCTATTATCACATCTCACCATGTCAATTGATTGTTAGTAACTTTTTTTATTATAAAAAAACCACTACTTTTATTAAAAATATAAAATATTCATAATTATAATGAAAATTTATAAATATAATCGTAAACTAAATTATAATTATGACAATTTTCCTAAACGATTGACACAAAATTTAGTCATCTAGATCATACAAGGACAAAAAAAAAAGACAATTTAAAAACCTAACCAAAAACTCTAAGAAAAGAAGGGTAAATTACAAATTTGGTAACTGAACTTTCATACGATTCTTATTTTACTCACCGTACTTTCAAAACTTTCAATTTGCTCACTCAACTTTATGGATTGAATTCTTTTTGTCACTACACCTTTATATCACTAACAACTCATTGAAATGGAATATTTTAATATTAAACAGATTTCCACGTGATAATAATAATAAGGATAAATTACAAATTTGATAACTGAACTTTTATATGATTCCTATTTTATTTACCGTACTTTCAAAATTTTCAATTTGCTCTGTAACAACCCTGAAAAAAATGAAAAGAAAATAAAATTATAATTTTGTAAATTGGTGAAATTTTGGGACTAAATTGAAAGTTTTCAAAACTTGTGTCCTGTTTTAGAGTTGAAGAAAATTCAGGGACCAAGCCCTAAATTTACCCAAAAAGTGTCGACAACCTTTTCTATTAAATGAAACGAATTGGTTTCTGCGTGAAAACACAGAAACCAACTCATAAAATTATCCTCATGCACCTTTGCTTTGAAGCCCGATTCCGACACCGTCCGACCTCCGACCGTCAAATTGAAACCACCATCGTGTTCATCTTCGACTCGTGAACAAAGCCCAGTAAACCAATTATAGCGAAATGCTGTCAAACGCCGTGAATTTCGAGTCAAAGTCTCGACGTTTTTTAGCACCACTGCCGAGAAAATCATAAATTCATCTCTGATCGTTGATCCGTTTTCGACACCTCTCGCACCATAGTGTTCCTTGCATCGTTCCGAGTCCACCGGTGTTCACCGTTTCTCCGTCGTCGCCGGCGAGTGAAGGAGTGAATCGGTCAAAGTTTCAGATTTGTTGAAATCGAGCTCTCCACCGATCAAAATTTTGAACCGAGCTTTGTAAGTATCTCAAAATCGCTTAAAATAATTTTTGGAAATTTTTCGGGAATTTTTAGGACATCGGGGAGCTTCAAAACAGTGGTTGACCGGTTTGGGTGTTAGTTTAGTAAATATTTTAAGAAGATGGCTAGATTGGTAAATAATTATTGTTAGGTGATATTCTGGGAAATATTTCGATAAAGGTGATATTTTGGGAATTATTTTGAAAAAAAGTGACATTATGAGAAATATTTCGAAAAAGTAACATATTGGGAATTATTTCGTAAAAGGTGACACTCTGAGAATTATTTTAAAAAAAGTGACATTTTGGGAATTTTCAAATGTTTGACAGTTGTTGACCTCCTTTGACCAGAACTTTGACCGGCTATTAAACGATAGTTAATCTTTTCCGAAAATACATATCCTGACAGTTTTTGACGTCCCGAATCCGTTTTTGGGGTCCGTTTCACCAAATTCGAACTCGAAAGTCTCTAAATCGACGGTCAAAGTGGTTGACTTTGACTTTGACAAAGAATTTGAATTTTCGAAAAGTCATACTTTATGTTTATCGACGTCCTGATTCCGATTCCGCAATCCGTTTGGCCAAATTCAGACTCGAAATACCCCAAAATGATAGTCAAACCCGAAAAATGCTTATATACTTAAGAATTCTAGCTTTGAATAATTAAGTAAGATTTGGGGCTGATTAATTATTATTGTTTGAAGGTACAAGAGACTCTCCGGATCGTTCGACAGCTCGACTCAGCTCTTCTAGATAAGTTAAACCACGTATATCAGTATTCACCCGTTCGAAAAATGTAACAGAGCGTGGTGAAACCAGCAATCAGTAGATCTACTATCTGAACCCATTATCGAGGTGTGTTCCTGTTTACTACATAATAGTTTTATATGTTTTGAAATATGGTACATTGAAATCTATGGTTTATTATTGTTGGTACACCGATTTATTGTTGATGATTTATGGACTTTGATGACTGGTATATGGATATTGATTTTGGGATGGATTGAACTACAATTGTATAGCTCTGATCAAGCTAATAAACGGGCCTAATGTGACTCTTGAGAGCCCAAGATGTTTCATTAGGTCGGCTTTCCTTTGCTGTGTGCTTAGGGTAAGCTATATGGACTTATTGACTTGGGCTTAAGGATACAAGCTTCATAGCCTATCCTTAAGTCGGCTTTCTTTTTGCTATGTGCATAAAGTAAGCTATATGGAAAATAATTTTGGGAACTACTGATGGTGTACCAGAAAAGGGTTTAAACTATAATTTTCAAAAGTTAAACTCTTTTACGAATTTGTGAGATTTACTGGACTATGATTTGTTTAAGGTACCTATGGTGATTTTATGGTAATGTTGGGACACACTGAGCCTAGCTCACCTTTCGAAAATGTTTTTCCCCCTTTCAGATACTGTTGGTTAGATACATCGGTTCGAGCACTTGGAGGATCAACATATCTCTTGAAGTATATCTGATTGTAATGTTTTATCTTGCTAGTTGACATTATTTTGGTGACATTGACCTTATTTTAAAGTATCGTATTTTAGGATGATGACAATTTTACTATTATTGTTCGGTTTATTGTGATTTTGATTTTAAAGACCAGTTTTAAATTAATTTATTACTTATTGGTATTATATTTACAAGTTGTGTTTTGATAGTATAATATCATGTCATTTATAATGTGATTTTACAATGATTGAATAACGGTTTCAGAAAATGTCTTTAAGAATCATGTATGTGATCCACTAGACTTAGTCGAAACGCATAGGCCGGGTCTAGGGGGTTATATTTATTGGTATCAGAGCTTTTGGTTTTTAACCCTCGGACTGTGTATGAGTCCACATTGAAAATACGGTTTTGAAATATTTTACAAAACAGTTTACTAAGGCCATGTCACAAAATTATTAAGATTTTTAACTGTGTTCGAGACTCCAAGTGCTTATATAACCCTAAGTTTCATCTTCTAGAGTAAACTTGAGATCCATCAAAATTAGTTCTAGACGTGGTCGTCAAACTAGCCGTAGACGAGGTCGAGTGGCTAGATTTACAGACTCGATCGATGGGATACGAGTAGATCCCCCACCTCCGTTAGGTGATCCTGCTCCTACGACCCCAACGAATCTGCCTTCTGCCGCAGGTATTGGCATGACTACATCGATCATAGGAGCGACTAATATTGAGTCATCAGCACAGTCCGGGAAGAGGACTCATATTTTGGCCCCTTAGAGAAGCAATACACGTTTTAG